TGTTTTAAATTGAATAAGTCAAATTATATAGACAGAATAACAGAATAAGTACCCTTTCAATTCATGGAGAACCTGTTCGAAAATGTCATTGTTATTTTACATCAGCTTACATTATTTGTTACTCGCAAGAATTGTGTTCTGAACCTTATTAAGAGTAAATGCATTCAAACGAGTCATCTTATATAGGTATTTAGAAGTAATTGAAAATTTAATTTTTATTTATATCTTTTTGAACAATGTTATCTTAAGGCCATGCAATGTCTTGCAGTAGAAATTTTTGTCGAAAGCAAATCGATTGATCATCGTCATGAAATCGAAAAATCTGACAGTTTTGCTTACATGTATATTTACATGCTCTTGATTTCGCCAATCCACATGCAGCACCTTTTGATGAGCCAGTACATCATGTACTGGGCTACATCTATGTAGAAATTTAGTTCATTAACTATTTGTAATTTTATCAACTTAAAGACATTGTAAATTTAGATATTTTGAAGTTTATGCAATGCGAAAAAAAGGCGGGGGAAATCTCCCCCATTTCTTATAGACCTTGTATCATGTCATTAGTTTCGACGACTTCAGATGAGAAGTCGATCAGTAGCGACCATGAGAGCAAAAACGTACGCTGAACTAGGACCTGGGGTCCCCCGCAAATAGTTGTCATTTTGCGTAGTAATAAAACATTCTAGGAACTCTCCAGGCATTAAAGGCACAAAAGTAAATTCATCGATATCATCAATACGGAGACCTCAGGTCACCTTATATATTAATTTTACATATATATTTTTGTCTTACTCCAAAATAATCATATTTATAACTTTATAAAGATCAACTTTCTAATATATATATTAACAGAAACGTGAAAATAATAAAGGGTGACCAGAGGTAACCTAATATTTTACATCAATAGGGGGACCAAAGATCACCTTACATTGTACATCAGTAGGGGGACCAGAGGCCACCTTATATTTAACATCATTAGGGAGACCAGTTGTCACCTTATATTTTACATCATCAGAGGGATCATAGGTCACATTTTAAATCAATAGGGGTCCAAAGGTAATCTTTTATTGCACATAATAGGGGGACCTGGGGATACCTTATAGTACATCATTTTGGGGACCAGAGGTCACCCTATAATGTACATCAGTAGGGGGACTACAGGTAACCTAATATTGGACTGTACATCAGTAGAGGGACCAGAGGACACCTTATATTGTATATCAGTAGAGAGACCAGAGGGCACCTTATACTGTATTGTGCATCAGTGGGGGGGGGGAGAACACCTTATACTATACATCAGTAGGGGGACCAGTGGACACCTTATATTGTACATCAATACGGGGGCCAGAGGTCACCCGATATTTTACATTAGTACGGGAACTATTGGTCACCTAATATTGTACTGTACATGAGTAGAGAGACCAGAGGTCACCTTTAATTTTATTGTACATCAGTAGTAAAACCAGAAATCATCGTATGTTGTTCATCAGCAGAAGGACCAGAGGTCACTTTATATTGTACGGGGACTAGTGGTCAACTAATATTGTACTCTACATCTGTAGCGGGACCAGAGGACACCTTATATTTTACATTAGTAGTAGGACCAGAGGTCATCTTATATTGTACATCAGCAGAAGGACCTGAGGTCCTCTCTTGTAGTAGGGGGACCAGAGGACACCTTATACTATACATCTCTAGGGGGACCAGAGGACACCTTATATTGTACATCAGTGGGGGAAAAGGGGTCACCTTTTATTGTACATCAGTAGGGGGACCAGAGGACACCTTATTTTTTACATCATTACGGGGACCAAAGGTCACCCGATATTTTACATTAATAAGGGGGCTAGTGGTCACCTTATATTGTACTGTACATCAGTAGAGGGGCCAGAGGTCACCTTATATTGTACACCAATAAGGGAACCAGAGGACACCTTATATTGTACATCAGTAGGGGGACCAGAGGTCACCTTATATTGTACATCAGTAGGAGAAACAGAGTTCACCTTATATTGAACATCAGTAGGGGGAACCAGAGGTCACTTTATATTGTACATAAGTAGAGGGGACCAGAGGTCACCTAGATTAAACATTGAGAAGGATGACCAGAAGTTACATATGTACATCAGCAGGGGTACCTTAGGTAACCTTTTATTGTACATCAGTAGGGGGACCAGAGGTCACCTTATATTTAACATCAGAACGATGACCAGACGTCATTTTATATTGTACGGGGAATAGTGGTCACCTAATAGTGTACTGTACATCTGTAGCGGGACCAGAGGACACCTTATATTTAACACCAGAAAGGGGACTAGAGGGTTGACCTATATTGTACATCAGTAGAGATCACTTTATATTGATCATCAGGAGTTGTACCAGGGTTCACCTTATATTGTACATCAGTAGGGTGACCAGAGGACACCTTATATTGTACATCAGTACGGGGACCAGAGGTCACCCGATATTTTTCATGGGTACGGAGACTAGTGGTCACCTAATATTTTACTGTACATCAGTAGAGGGATCAGAGGTCACCTTATATTGAACATCAATAAGGGGACTAGAGGACACCTAATATTGTATATCAATAGTAGGACCAGAGGTCATCTTATTTTGTTCATCAGCAGAAGGAACAGAGGTCACCTTATATTATACTTAAGTAAGGGGACCAGAGGTCACCTTATATTTAACATCAGTAGGATGACCAGAGGTCACCTTATATTGTACATCAGCAGGGGGACCAAGGGTCACCTTATATTGTACATCAGAAGGGGGACCAGAGGTCACCTTATATTGTGTATCGGTAGGGGGACCAGAGGTCACCTTATATTGTTCATCAGTAAGGGGGACCAGAGGTCACCTTATATCTAACAACAGAAGGGGGACCAGAGGTCACCTTATATCTAACATCAGAGGGGGGACCAGAGGTCACCTTATATTGTACATCAGTAGAGGGACCAGAGGCCACTTTATATTGTACATCAAAAGGGGGACCAGAGGTCACCTTATATTTAACACAAGAAGGGGGACTAGAGGTCACCTTAAATTGTACATCAGTAAGGGGATGAGAGGTCACTTCATATTGATCATCAGCAGGGATTCCAGGGGTCACCTTATATTGTACATTGGCAGGGGGACCAGAGGTCACCTTACATTGTACATTAAAAGGGGACCAGAGGACATCTTAAATTGTACATCAGTAGGGGGACCTGAGGCCAATTTTTATTGTATATCAGTAGGGGGACCAGAGGTCACCTTTAATTGAACATCAGAAGGGGACCAGAGGTCACCTTATATTGCACATCAGTAAGGAGATCAAAGGACACTTTATATTGTACATCAGCAGGGGGACCAGGGGTCACCTTATATTGTGAATCAGTAGGACCAGAGGCCACCTTATATTGTACACCAGTAGGGGAACCAGAGGTCACCTTATATTATACATCAGTAGGAGGACTAATGGAGTTTTATGAAGAGACTTACTTTTACATTAGACAGCTGACTTTTACTTGTTCTTGGTCACCTTATTTTCCCACTATGTGTACCATAACGTTACATGGAATAAAATCATAGTGGATACCACAGGTCACCTAACGTAATCCATAAATGTTTAACGCTTATATATCATATATCGCATAAAATTGCAGTTAATGTTTTTAAGCACCCCCCCCACCCCCTTATCTTTTCTAATACCCATCAGATGGTTATTCCTTTTAAAAAGTTGTTTGTTTTACACTTTAAAGGCTTCACAGTATTACGATTTATTCTATTTTCATTTTACGTATGCAACGCACTACATTTTGTAGCGGAGTAAACAGGCCCGATAGTCGTGAACTGAGCAGGGGACCTCAGGTCCTAGTTCAGCGTACGTTTTATCCTTCTGCAAATTTTTCCGCCGAAATAACTCCAGTAAAAATAGATCACCGTGAAGCATCACGGGAAAATACAAAGTAAACAAAGTATGGGGGCGGCAAAGTTTCAGTGAAACGTGTGTGCTCGAAGACCATAAAACATCGATCACACAAGAAATAAGGTAATTATAAGATAATCCTAAATTACAGCACAACTTCATAATTACGTATGTACAATTAAGCCAACAAAAAGCGTGTAATTAAATAGCAAGACGATGTCTGACATTCAACACATCGAAACACAAGAAAAATAACATAGATCATCGCTGCATTTAACAGTTTAACCAACATTTAAGACACAACTCTCGCTGGACATTTCAACATTCCATACAAGAATTGATGAATGAATTGAAAGTATGTATGAAAGTGCTTTAGAAAAATACCAAGATAAAAAAAAATGATTCAAGAAAAATGGGGGAGGGATGGTTTACATTTTGCCCCTCTCTAAGAGTCCAAGTCCCTTTGGACTCAAAATACAAACAATAAATTTCACATACAACCATTAATTAAAACAATTAATGACATGTTACTACTATTATACACTCAATACACATATACTTAACTTCCATGAACAGTACAGCTAATCAATACACACAAGGGAGACTACTCCAAATAAATGCTGTATTTCACAAAGATTACCTCATATAATGTGTATCAACTTTTCAAAAATTCACATCTCTAGAAATAAAAAAAAATCATAGAAATTTTACAGAATATAAAATTTACAATGCCAGCCTTCATGCCTATCACCAATCAATATGAAAGAAACTTTTTACATAAACACAAAATGCTAAATCAAAACATGGAGTTCATCATAATCTTGAAGACAAATGAGCAGAGCATAGTATACAGTGTGATAAGGTAAGTAAGTGAAAATGTACATGAATTATAATAATTCAAATAATATTTAATAACTGCCATTTAAAGAATGAATTTATCTTACAAAAACAATGGATACACAAAATATTAGCAGCCTCTCAAATTCATCATCTAAACTTGCACATAAATACAGTGATCTGATAATGCTAATAATTTAGACATAAGTATAACAAGTAATGTATAACCTTTCTTAATATTCATTCACAGGATAAGGGTTACAGAAAAAAGGAAGGACACTAAGGTCTCAGCGAGCAAAAATTTTCAAAGTTAAGTAATATTACAGAAATGAATCTCATTATCATCAGACTTAATGCTTGAAATATCAAATAAAAAAAAATTACACATAAAGTCCACAAATCAATCTCATTCCCAACCTTATCTCCAAATTTACAACAAATATTGACAATGCATGAAATGAATACTTTCTTAACTTACTTATACTTATTACTCAAAATTACCAATTTAATTTTGTCCTAGAATCACATCCTATGCTGTCTCCTGCTGCGGAACGGAACTTTGGTTGCTGGAGAGTATTTGACCACTTCCTCTTTTGTAGGTTTACTTCCTGCCAGTTTCCACTTAAGCACTGGACCAATACCATTATCTTCCATCTGGAGACATTGTAGACTTGATGAGTTGTACTTTGACATCCATTGTGTCCCTTCAGGTAAATTTTTAGAACTGACACGCTTTCTTGTTGTCACACGAATAGCACCCCCCTGATTAAGGTTTTCCTAAGTTTCCATAGTCTCAGCTCTCTTTCTGCACTTAATACAAGGTCCGCATTTCAGGCTTTCTAACTGTCACCCTCTGAGCAGCTACAGTCGGCTGGGTTCGGACATCTTGATAGACCGTCGGCATTACCATCCTGTGTACCAGGCCTATACTCAATTTCAAAATTGTAGGCTGACAATATTTCAATCCTAGTGAGCCACTCTTCCTTTAGGTTCTTTCAGTTTATATAGCCAGACTAATGCTTGGTGATCAGTCCTAAGGATAAATCTTTGTCCCAAAAGATATTGTTTGAAGTATTCCACGAAATAACGAACAGCTAGGAGCTCTTTATCAGTTACACAATAGTTCCTTTCAGCACGGTTTAGGGTTCGACTCCCATAGGCTAACACTTTCTCACGTCCATCCTGTACTTGGCTCAATACAGCACCAATGCCTACATCACAGGCATCTGTGTCAAGAATAAAATGGCCTTGGTTTGGGTCAGGATATCCCATTATATCTGGCCCAGTAAGAATCTTCTTTAGTTGCAGAAATGCTTTCTCGCATAAGTCTGTCCAGCGAAAAGAATGGTTCTTTTGTGTAAGTTCAGTAAGAGGTTTAGCTATCACCGAAAACCCTTTTATAAATCTCCTGTAGTAAGAGGCAGTTCCAAGGAATTGTCGTACTTCAGTAACATTATTTGGTCTGGTCCTATTCAAAATTTTCTCTACATTCTGCTTATCTGGTAAGACTCCATCTTTAGTGACTTTATGTCCAAGGAAAATAACTTCATCTTGAAAAAGGCTACATTTCTCAGTTTTCAATTTTAAACCTGCATCAGTTATTCTCTGAACCACCTGGCTAAGTCTGGACATGTGTGGTCATCGAAATTTCTGCTAAATATCACTACATCGTCCAAATAAATAAGACAAATGTCCCACTGGAGGCCATTTAATGCCATCTCCATAAGTCTCTGGAATGTACCTGGTGCATTGGTCAATCCAAAAGGCATGGTTTTATACTCGAAATGACCATATTTTGTAACAAATGTTGTTTTTGGTATATCTTCAGCCTTGACTCTGACTTGGTGATACCCAGCTGTCAAATCCAGAGTGGAAAACATTGAAGCTCCTGCAACGGAATCTAGACAGTCTTGAATTCGTGGGAGTGGGAATGCATCCTTAACTGATAAATTATTTACAGCTCGATAATCCACACAGACTCTTATTTTTCCATTCTTCTTTCTAGCTAAGACCAGTGGAGAGGACCAAGGTGATGTAGAAGGTTGTATTATGCCCCTCTCTCTAAGGTTCAGAATGGCATCTCTCTCCTCATTGGCTAGTGCTATTGGAACTCTACGAGGTGGCTGTTTTACAGGTTTACTGTCACCAGTATTAATCTCATGTTCAACTAAATTGGTTTGTCCTAGGTCCCATTCATCTTTTGAAAATGCATCCCGATGGTCGAGCAAGAATTTCCAAAAGCTTCTTTTTCTGACTTATTTAAGGACTGGGAAGAGCCTTCATAAAGCTCACACAAATGATCTGGAACCTCACATGCCTCACCAGGCGAAAGTTCAGTAGATCGGCAAAGGCTTCTTAGGTCACTAAAAACCGGTCGAATTACATCTACTATTCCCCCATATCCTTCAACAGTACCCACAACTGTGTCTGGATAAAGTGTTTTTCCCTCATCAAAAGGGTTCATAACTCTCAGGGGTACACACAGTTTCCCTCTGATGTTAAGAACTGCTGGGGCTAACAGTAAGGAGGTCTTCTCCATAAGATCTCCACTTGGCACAAACATAAGGTCCTCCTCAACATCAACCTCACATTCACGCTGTATAAAAGCCGGTATTATTACTTCTGTATTCCCAGGTATATCACATCTCTCCTCACAACGGAGGGTAATATCTTTATGCACACCACGTTGTATGCATGGAATATCATGACCTTTGAACCTTATCAGTCCTTTACTCAGGAGAATATCTGCTTGACCAATATCACTATTCTGCAGGATGTCCACTCCAAGTAACACTTCATCTTGGATATCAGCTACTAAAAGGTTTTTCTTGAGGGTCAAGGAACCAAGTTGCAAATCAAACGCTCCTTTCCCATAAACATGAATGGTACTTCCGTCAGCTCCTCGTAAGTGTGACTTTCCTTGAAGTCTGGGTCTGTTCACCTCTTTGAGTTGTTCATACACTTTGTATGAAAGTATAGTATTGGATGCACCAGTATCTGTTGTAATGTGGACATCTAAACCATTTACGTTTCCCTCTATGTACACACCATTTGCATCTGGTATTCGATTAGAAATAAAACAAAAATCTTCTGATTCATCAAAATTATCTGGTTGTCGGTCTGTTGGTGGGTCTAAACTGTTCGTCTGTCTGTCAGTTTCTTCTGTAGCCGGTCCTTGACCCACAGGAACGGCTAATGCCTGTTTAAAGGTGCCTTTGAGACTTGCAGGTCATTAATTCTCTTTGGGCAGTCCCTTATGAAATGACCTTCACCTTTGCAGTAAAAACAGCTACGTTTGTGTGGTCTGTCCAGAGGAGCTGTCTGACCGGTGCATTCTGGTTGAGTGCCAATAATAGGCCTACTTGGCTGTGTCCCAGTGTTGCTCTGCTTAGTCAGGTTGTAGAACCTTTGCCATCTCATCGATTTGTTTCTGCAAGGCTTGGATGGCCACCTGACCCTTTTTTGTTTCCTTGGCTGTACTTTATATTTCTGACACTTTTCTTTTTCAACGACTTGGCCTTAATGACTGTCTTAGGCGTGGCTTCTGATTCAGAATCACTGTACAGCGACTTCACCTCTCTGACATGTTTCTTAGTTGAAGGCCGACCTGCTTCTTCATAGTTTATAACCTGTCGTACAGCTTCATGTATATCTGAGGGGTTTTTGACATACTCCACATGAAACTGGGCTTCTCTATCTGCCAGACCATCTAAAAATTTCCTGAGCAAGTCTTCCTTTTCTAGTCTTTAGTCTCGCTCCGGGTGGGCTTTGACATACAGGCGCTTTAGATCAGCCGCAAAGTCCTCACTCGCTCACCAGGCTTCTGAACTCTATTATTAAATTTTGCCAAATATGTTCGACTGGTTTGGGTTGCACGGAAACGATTGGTCAGTTCCTTCGTAAGTCTCTTATAACTGCTTCTGGACTCTTTCGATAATTGGCCATAAACAAAGTCAGCAGCATCTTCATGTAGTCTGGGCAGCAATTGGTCCAGTTTGTCATCTGTTGTCCAGTGGTATCTATTTTGCAACTTCCTCAAAACGACAGAACCAGACAGACCAGTCTTCTTTCCCAGTGTATGGAGGAATCTTTACATTGCGATGCTTAGCCTTTTTCCGGTACACAAAGTCAGACTCTTGTGATGTTTCTTTGTCGCTACTCCAACACTCGTGAGACGTGCTACATGTATCTGATTGTCTGTTGTCAGGGTTGGTCCTTTGGTGGTGATCTTGTTCAGAGAGCTGTTTAATTTTTTCTTGTAAGTGCTCTACCATCTCCATGAGCTGGGTAAGTGCAGTTTGCTCGCTTTCTGTCCTTGATATATCTCGTGCACTTCTCATGGGAGCAGAGAAGGTCTGATTCGGCCTCACAGGTACAGAACCTGTACACAAACTTACAGGTACAGAACCTGTACATGTACATGGGCTTACAGGTACATTACCTGCACAAGAACTTACAGGCACAGAACCTGTACACAAACTTAGAGGTAAATGAGTTCTCAAAGCAAATGCTGTGAGCTGATGTTGTAATTGTGGGAAATGGGGTAAACATATGTGCGCTCTGGTTTTGATGACAATAAACAGGACATTGAAAACTCGCAGTACAAGGAACTGCATAAAACAGGGAAGGTAGTGCGATAATTTGTACCTGTACATGAACTCAAAGTGCTTTTGTTGAGAGTTTACACTAACCTAGATCTGGACTTGCTGTCTGTGTTGTGGAGGGGCTCATGTGAGTACCTGTACTAGGGACTGCAGGTTATACATACTAGGGACAGCTGTCGGCTCTCTAGGAAAACCTGTACATAAATTCTCAGCAAAATGTGAGCAAACAGGTACAAAAGGCATCTGAGTTGTTGGATCACAGGTGTGAAGATGGCTCATTTTAGGCGTAACTACACTGTATGCTGTCTGTGGCTGCTCTGTGGTAGTCTCACAGTTACAGAAACTGTATCTGAGTTTTCCCCTAAAAAGTGTAGATTCTCTATCCCTCACAACGTCTGCCTGAGAACTCACAAGCATTAAACTTGTATCTGAGTCATGTAAATTTGCTAATGGAGAGGCTTCTTTATTTGAATGAACAAATGGCTTAGTTCTGTGCATGTCAGCTCCTTCACACGGAAATTCACATTCGCTTTCATTTTCTCTTACAGTATCTACGGAGGAGCACGAAATCCGTGAGGTAGATCTAGATTCTTGAAGCCACAGCCTCCCTCGACTTTACGACCTGCCGTTGTGATTTATTTTTTATTTGATGTTTGCTTAATAAAATTTTTGTTTCTCAAACACAGACAAAGCGTTGTTATGATTCGATCACAGGACCTGTAAATTTAAACGGATCCCGCCGTGGATGCCAAAATTGTAACGCTTCGGAACGTTTGCCTTGTGTTGAGAACAAAAACTTTGATGTAAAGTTTTATAATTTTATTCAGTAATACATGAACAGCGAAAATAAATAACAGTGTTTGAAATTCACAAGTCTCAACCCTCGGGACAAAAGACAAAATCAGTACAACTACTGATATAACTGGGCAACTGGCACTATTTCCAGTAATTTATGATTTAAGTATAAATTCCCCCGACCAAAATAAAACGAAAAGGCTCTCTATAAATGACTTATAATTAATTTACAAATAAATATTCCCGCTACTAGTACAACTACTAGCACGCTGCAGAAATATTTCCTAACTCCTAAACTGGGCTAAAAAAAGATTAAAAAAAATAACTAGTTCACAACTAGTAATTATAAATAAAACTAGTACAATTACTAGTAATATGAATTTAGCCTAACCTAACATTACGTATTATGTACTTCAGTCACTTAGATACTGAAATAGTACACACCTTAAATTACTCTGGACAAAACTGGCAACCTTTCTCTAGGTCACAAAGAAAACAAAGAGCAAACGATATTCAGCATCCGAGTATTTATAGTATTAACAAAACCCGCAATAATTCATAACCAATCATAACTAATAATTCCATCCCTAAATTATAATCAGCCAATCAAATGTAATCATCGTCCCGTAATGAAATCTCACTCTCGTACATCGTATGTAAAATTATTAAATACGTAAATAAATTAAATAAATTCATAAAACATAAAGTTACACTTTTAAAAGCTCATTTAACACTGTTTAACATTTAATTTAAAAGAATTTACAATCAAATCTTCCGCCGAAATAACTCCAGTAAAAATAGAACACCGTGAAGCATCATGGGAAAATACACAAGTAAACAAAGTATGGCGGCGGCAGAAGTTTCAGTGAAACGTGTGTACTCGAAGACCATAAAACATCGATCACACAAGAAATAAGGTAACTTTAAGATAATCCTGAATTACAGCACAACTTTATAATTACGTATGTACAATTAAGCCAACAAAAAGTGTGTAATTAAATAGCAAGACGATGTCTGACATTCAACACATCGGAACACAAGAAAAATAACATAGATCATCGCTGCGTTTAAGCAGTTGTAACCAACATTTAAGACATAACTCTCGCTGGACATTCCAACATTCCATTCAAGAATTGATGAATGAATTGAAAGTATGCATGAAAGTGTTTTAGAAAAATACCAAGATAAAAAAAATGAGATTCAAGAAAAATGGGGGAGGGATCGTTACACTACGAAAGCCCATTGAGCTCATTTTCGTAGGTTAAAAAAAATGAAATTTTCGCGTTTTAACGCGAAACTTTTTCCCCAATACACCCATAACTTTCGCGTTATAACGCGAAACTTTCGCGATATAACGCGAAATTATATGCATATAGTAATGTTCTTCAGGAAGTTGATCTTCACTGACAGATAAGAACATGAACGATGACAGGAACTTTCATGAAATTGTTGATAAAATATATTTTCCTCAGAAGATGCCCTGGAGAAATGATGTATGAACAGGATAAATTATTAGTCATCAGAATTTTTTTTTTATTTCAAAACCCTACCAATTAATAAAATAAATTTTACTTTCTTGTTCTTGTTAATCAGTTGTTAAATTCAAGAAATTCTTTAGACTGATTATTTTATTTAAGGAAAATTTCCACTTGACACTTTCTCAAGCTGTTTTTTTTTTATCAGTAGCATTCATTACAACTGTACCACTAGTAAACTAAGCAATCCATCAAGTTGGACTAAAAATTATACCTTGTAGAAACATAGCTTAAAAGTTAGTGAACAATGTGTCATTTCATGAGCTTAACGTGCCAAATGATGCTTTAAAATAGTAAATACAAATGGATATTGTTAATCACAAATTGATGAAGAGGAGGGGTCCACTTTTCTTAATTTTTCTCCAGTGTTTATATATCCAAAGTTCGTGGACTAGCGCCATAAATCAAAACTATTAAGGTATACAGCCAAGAGTTTTTCACTTTGAATTAATTGTCAATGTTTTCGTAAGTAACAGAATGACCACGTGGCGCGACCTCAAAATACAATATCGTATTTCTACAGTAAATCTAACGGAGACAAATGAAAATTTGTCATCCAATTTTCACCCGTGTGGTGGGACAAAATTAACAAAGAAAGAGGGCGTATAAGGCGTGAACAATCCCCCGCTCTGAGACAAAATGTTTCTGAATTTTCAAAATTCACAGAAAAGTTATATTTTTCTAAAATCATGTTCTCAGTAATGTAATCTTCAAAACATTTTATCATTTTATTTTACTGAAGGACTTTTTATTTGATAATTTTTATTTCAAAGTTGACAGTTAAGCATATTTAGTGGAAATTGGGTTTACTAGAGCTTTAAAAATTGAATTTTGAACATGAATGGGTCAAGTCTCCATTCCTCGTTAACGCTTAAATGATGGAAACGTAAATGTGAAATCTATTTCATTTGTCCAAAAAATGGAATCTGAACCCATTCTATATGAAAATCGATAATTTCTGAAAAAATGTACGCTTCAACAAACCCGTTCATTTAAATCACACTGACAGACGTCAATAATGCGCAGAAGGATAAAACGTACGCTGAACTAGGACCTGGGGTCCCCCGCAAATAGTTCGTCATTTTGCGTAGTAATAAAACATTCTAGGAACTCTCCAGGCATTAAAGGCACAAAAGTAAATTCATCGATATCATCAATACGGAGACCTCAGGTCACCTTATATATTAATTGAATTTTATATGATAGACAATTTTCTTTGTCTTACTCCAAAATAATCATATTTATAACTTTATAAAGATCAACTTTCTAATATATATATTAGCAGAAACGTGAAAATAATAAAGGGTGACCAGAGGTAACCTAATATTTTACATCAATAGGGGGACCAAAGATCACCTTACATTGTACATCAGTAGGGGGACCAGAGGCCACCTTATATTTAACATCATTAGGGAGACCAGTTGTCACCTTATATTGTACATCATCAGAGGGATCCTAGGTCACCTTACATTTTAAATCAATAGGGGTCCAAAGGTAATCTTTTATTGCACATAATAGGGGGACCTGGGGATACCTTATATCGTACATCATTTGGGGGACCAGAGGTCACCCTACAATGTACATCAGTAGGGGGACTACAGGTAACCTAATATTGTAATGTACATAAGTACAGGGACCAGAGGACACCTTATATTGTGCATCAGTTGGGGGGGGGAGGACACC